ATTTATTTACAATTCTATAAGATCCTTTTCTTATGAATTGAATTTTTTAAAGTTCATATTATTTAGTGTTTCTTTTATATATTATAAAAACGCAACACTAAATAATATGAACATTGAAAAAATCAATACATAAGAAAAGGTTTTTATTCGATATAAATCCTATATAATATAGGAAACTAATTTTAAGAAGTACCTATTTTTAATAAATATCTATATCTATTTATAACAGCATCCTTAATCTATATTAAAGAGAGTTTTTTGCGAATGTAGGCCTTTAAAAACATATAGCACTTTAGTTCCAATTAAACAAATATAAATATATTAAATTCTCTAACTTGAATGCAAATCAAAAAATAATATATATACATCATAGCTCCATAGGATTTCTCATTATAGATAAATAATATTTAAAATTTTAGAGAAAGGAAAAAGAGACATGCAATAATATGTGGTTTACCATTTGCGAATGAATCTGATATGAGAGTTCGGATGACGATTAAAACATTAATGATATGCATCCTAAATTAAATAAAAAGCCTAATTTAGATGATGAGCGAGTACCCAATGACAAATCTCTTGATTATGATTCAACAGAACAATTTTTTAATGTACAGTCTAATACCAAAGAAAAAAAAAAGACTAAACAATCTAAAAAAAATTCTGTAAAATATAAAGATATTTTACAGAATTTTTTTTAGATTGTTTGGTCTTTTTTTTTGATTTTTTTTTTTTTAGATTGTTTTTTTTTTTTTTTTTAGATTGTTTGGTCTTTTTTTTAGATTGTTTGGTCTTTTTTTTTCTGTAAAATATAAAGATATTTTACAGAATTTTTTTTAGATTGTTTGGTCTTTTTTTTTTCTTTGGTATTAGACTGTACATTAAAAAATTGTTCTGTTGAATCATAATCAAGAGATTTGTCATTGGGTACTCGCTCATCATCTAAATTAGGCTTTTTATTTAATTTAGAATGCATATCATTAATGTTTTAATTGTCATATTGCAGAAAAAAAACTACAATTTATTGCAGAAAAAAAACTATTGTCTATTGCAGAAAAAAAACTACAATTTGCTAAGTGGTCAAATGGAAACTTAATCAATACTGGCTTAAAAGTTTTTTTTTGGCAAAATACCAGATTATGAAAATTATGAAGATTATGGTCGATTTTTACCAATTGATTTTTTTTCAATTTTTTAAAAAAGGATATGATTGAACATTTAGCTAATGCAACCAATATTTATTCTGCCGAGAAAACCGCCAAATCAAACAACGTGACACCAAGTGATAATGTTTTTTTGTTTTTTGGTTTTTCACCTTCTCAAGGCCGAAAAGGCTACTACAGACGAGGAGGCTACTTAATAGTGGTTATAACCCTCTCTCAACTCTATAACTCCGAAACACGAACCTTGACGACAAGGCCGCTGCGCGGAGAAACAAGTTGATCAATATATTGGCATCTTGTTCCATCTTTTCATAAGAATTGGGCGCAGGATACAAGATATTCAATAATCACTAATACGATGCAACGAAATTGATTTGAAGATATCAAAAATAATTTCCATAAAACATTTAATAGTGATCTTATTAGTAAAGAATATCGCAATTATGATAAATTGTTTAAATTTCTTCAACTGCATGATCATGTTTTATTAAATTGCAACTCCATTGATCCGGAAGAGTATAATAGTATTGATGAGCAGAATGTTCATTATAAAGATAAAAAAAGCTCTATGCGCTAATACAATTCGCAAAAGCCGTGTTTATGGAATTCAAATTCATTACTCAATGCGATGCTACATCTGGGATCTTTAACCATTTTTTTCTATACACTGGCGCAGAAAAAATAAATATTGCACTAATCTCTGTTGTAACACAAAACACCACGCTTTATCTAATGTACAAGTTACTGATTGATCTAAGTTCATTCCGAAATCATTGCGTTCATCTATAACAGCATCTGGGTTTTATAATAATCTCAAAAAGCCAAAACTTCAGATAAAGTTCTTCCTCCAACTTCAGCATTAAGAAGACCAATATGGTACAAAGGTGGAAATCAAATCTCTACACCACCAAAAAAAACAAAAAATGGTTGAAGCAAAATTTCATTATATTATATACTGTATTATATATATTATATACTGCTTCAACTATTTTGGAAAAATTAGAACCAGCTGGTACATCTGCTGTAATGAAATTAGTTAGAAATATACCAAAATTTAAAAATTTCAGGAGATTGCATCTCCTGCACTGACCATTGATTTGAAAAAGATAGGTTACCAATCAGTATCTACTGTTTGACTGAATAGAGCTCAAATAAAACTAACTCCAAATTTTGGTAAGAAGCCAAGAGGTGTTATTGAATCTTATATCAATAAAGATGTTGGTACTTGCTTGGTTCGTTCGAATGATAACAAATTGACAGATTTGTTATCATCATATGTTGATAGTGATCTTGTGTCAACAATCAGTAGATAGAATAAAAAGAAAAAAAAGGGTATAAATTGAATGCCCTGCAATTATTAAAGAGTACAACAAGTACATGGGTAGTGTTGACTTATATGATATGTACCATTCATTATATCATTGGAAAAGTACAAAGGATGATCGCATAGTATACTATTTATTCATTTCTGCATGAAAAAATGCTTGGTTTATATACAAAATTGTTAATAAAGGTAGTAATGATAAAATATTTTAGAGATTTTATTCTAAAAGTATCTAATAGTTTAATGTTGACTATTTTATTGAAGGAAGACATTGATGTTCAAAAAATTGTTTCGACGTGCAAAAAATTGTTTTAATGTGCAGACATTGATCTGCAAAAAATTGTTTTGAGGAGGATATTGCTTTTATCTTTGATTAGCTTGGAGAACGGAAAGGAGTAGTCGGAACAAAAGATAAAAAGTTTTCATATGCCTTTAAAAGCTTACAGAAGAAGCATTTGACTACCAGGAAAAGTGCAGAAGACATTGCAAATGATCTTAACATTTCACACGGCTCTGCAAGTAGTCATGATAGTAATACTGACTCAAACTTTGAAGCAGACTCCGGAGGTTCAGTTTCAATTTTTGTTGTGTCTAGCGCAACATCATTTGTAGAAGAGGATTTGACCAAAGAAGGAGAGAAGATTAGAAAACAAGTTTCTACTTTTGCGCAGTCATCACTATCCCCTATAATTTTACTTTGATAGCAAGATGGTTAAAGAATTCACAAATAAAAAAGAATTGAAATATCACAGTCTTGCTGTATTAGTTAGTAAAAATGGACAGACAGAGCTATTTGGTATTCCACCTCAACTTCAATTACAGGAGAGGAGCAGAAAACAGCTATCATCGAACTTCTTGACCAATTTGAAATTACTGGCAAGTTTCACGGATGTGTTTTCATATATTATATATGAATATATTATATATATATAATATATATTATATATATATATATATATATATATATATATATATATATATATATATATATATATATATATATATATATATATATATATATATATATATATATATATATATATATATATACATGAACCATAATCATATTATATGAATCATATATGGTTATTAAATTTTTATTCAGACATTTAAAAAAAATGTATTAGTCGATTTAGTTGACTATTTTTTCAAACTCAATATTATTCAAATATTAAGTGTGATATATTCAATAAATATTTAAAAAAATGTAATGAAGAGATAGCAGATAATAATTTAATTTTAAAATATTATAAAGTTTTAATAACAACGAAGGATGAATATTGACAGGCCTTGATTACACACTTGGTCCCATATTAGCCCTAAAATTTTTTCCAAAAGTATATTAATCTGGGTCTTAAATAATCCAACATTTTTTAGATACTTTGAAGTTTTAAAATTTTCTTTATTAAAAACTTTTTTTATTTTTTGTTTAAAATGTTTTTTTGTTTTTTTTTTGAATATAAAATTTGAATAAAATTTATTAACAGTGGTGGTAAAATAAATTAGGGAAATTGAGATGAGGATCCTCCCCTCACCCCCTAAAATCAGGTAAAAGTTATCAAACACTTCTGCTGATGTAAAAATTGTAGAAGACTTTCATGATTATTTAGTTTTTTAGTGAGTAAAATAATATTTGTATCAAAAATAATAACATCTGCATCTGTAACTGTAATCGTGACCACAACTTTTAAAATATCTGCATATTTGTGGTTACGATTTGCTATCATAGGTCTATAGGAAGTCTAGTAGAATTCTAAATAAATCATCAAGTGGTCAACATAAACAATTTAAAATGTTTTTTAATTTAGTTACAAGTACAGTTAAAATATAACCCAATATGAACCTAAAAAATTTAAATAAATAACATAATGAATTTACAAACAGAATTTTTACATAAATGTTAACCAGTTCGAGGGAAATGCCTGCAAAACTCCTAATTATGAGTTCTTATTATATCCCCTAAAGCCCTTTGTTTTTTTTAATTTCAAATTTTGAATTTAAAATTGAAAAAAACATGCCCTACAACCACACCGTCAAATTAGCATAAAGAACTTTCCAGCTTTTTGCAAAAACAGTAACTTATTGGTAATTTGTACCGGTTTGAGTTGAGTGCATATTCTGGTAAATGGCCCCAATTACCATCGAACACCATTCCACTTTGCCTGTAACTAGACCTACAAAATACCAAATAATCATGAAAGCCAAATGTTACAAGGAACAATAGCTAATTGGTAATTTTAACCCGTTATTTTAGGGGAATGCTGCCAAGTCTCCCAAATATAAACGTATTTCCATTCAGACTAAAATATTTCCCGCAACCGTCATAGACCTACAAAACAATACTAAACATGAACTTAATTTGAACTTAAACTGAATAAATTGAACTGTATTCTCGTGACTCCTCTAAACAGGAAAATATGCAATCTCGCTCTTTAGATAATATAAGTAGATATTCATAATTATAAAATTATTTATATAAAAACCTAACATTGTTAAACTTATTTTTTAATTTCCAGGAATGGCTAAAGGAGACTGGTAATATAACGTTTTTGGAATCTTTAGCTCCACCTCAAATTCGATAAATTTTCAAAATGGCTTCTATATTAATATTGTAAACTTCTGGTCAACAATTTATTACTTGTAGTTCTTATTTTTTTAAATATATTTCTTACTTTTTATTTACTTTGTTTTTTATTAGTTATTAAGATTTTTTTTTTTCTTAATCAAATTTGGTTACATATATGAATCACCTATTTGAAAAACCGCATTTGTCGGTATTGAGCATTGTCATAAGAAATAGAAAGTCTGGCAACTTGCGGTATTCCTTTGATCAACTCTTTGTGCGAATTTTTTTAGAGTCCAGTCCGCTGCAGTGTGCACAAAATTTGTTAACATTGATTGATTAGCTAACTGCTTCTAAATTTGCAAGTTCTTTATCCAATACTTCGTTGTAGTTTTGTAGGGCTGGACCTCTTTAAATAGTGTGTAGTTTTTTAAATTTTCGAATCGCTCGATGGATTTTACATGAGCATGTAAAATGTGTAAACGTCATAAATTTCAGAGAGTCATAATTTCGAATACTAAAAGATTAATAAATTAAATTTAAAATCTGTTAAAAAATTCATTGAAGAAACCAATATACCAAGGATAAGGAAAACTCATTGAAAAACCCCAAAACTGATTGCTTTTCGGATAGGTGCTGCTATCAGAAAAATACTCAGTCCTGGTCTACAAAATAGGTTAATGACAAAAAGGGGCCATTGAGTTGCAATTATAGATAAGTTTGTTTGTAATTGTAAATAAACCCTTCCTTGATACCATAAATAAAATTTTTGAAAAAATCGCATTATTTAAAAGTTGTTGTAAGTGTGAACGTTATAAAGCTTAAGGTAAACTAGACGTTAGGTACGTATACAATTTTTCAGTTGTGCTAAAAAACAACTGGACATCGCTGTTTATAGTCATTTCTTCGATGGTTGCCAAATTTTCAAACATGAGAACAACAATGAACATAGAAGGCATTTGGTTAAAAAGCTTTTATCCGAGTTTCAAGACCAGTTTTAAATCCACACATTACTGAAGCACTATCATATGCTTGTCCTCTGCAGAGTTTAATATCATTTTTTTAATTTTTAATTTTTTATTTTATTATCGTAGTTTCATTTTCAAGCTGAGATAAAATCAACTAAGCTAATGCTTCAGGGCTGCTGTATTCTAAAGTATAGAAGGCTATGAATCTTTTCACAGCATCACCTGATTTTAAAACGAATCTTAACGAAACCGACATTTTATTGATAAGATTGATATTGATATTTGCAGAATTGTCTGCAAATATCAATAGTTGAATAAATAATTAGCAAAAAAACTGGGCTAATTTAACTTTATTGCTGATTGTGGATAAAACTTCAGAAGCAAGCGATTGAATTAAATTATTTTGTACACCATGACTTAAATACAGTTGATTACTTTTTTCATACCTAAGGTGATTCCAAAGTAAGATCATATTTGAATAATAGAGTTAACAGTTCAAGAAAATTGCCAGCGTTATAAGCTGTACCTTTACTGCCCAATTTATATTGTTGATTTTCTCTGTGTCCTCTAAATGATAAACCTTACTTTACTAAGAACAGCGTTATGTATAACATTCGTTTCAAGACTTCTTTATTCTTTTCTGCTTGGCGACACTCTTGACTAATTAAGGTGGTTCATACCCTTATTTTTAGTCAAAAATCCCAAAATAATATTTTGGTTTTTTATTATGCAAAATTTTATGATAAATTCAAATATGTAATTGGAATTTATAAAAATACTAAAAATGTTGACCAAAATTCATTTTTGTGCAACCCTACAAAAATCACGCCCTTAGCAACACCATAGCAACGGCTCCTTGATATTGAAATAAATTTCATTACCAGCTTGAAAACTTGTATTAACAAAATACAAAAAGTGTTAAAAAAGCAAGACAATACTTATTTTAAAATCCATACTTTAAAATAGCATTTTTTACCACGTGAAATTAGAGTTGTTTAATTTGCAGTCTTTACATTTGCCAAGTGATTCTCGTTTGTTTATTGCTATTGTTGTTATATATTCCTAATAAAAATAAATCAAGGGTGTTTAATTTTAGAATAAATTAATTAAAGTATGCCTAGATCAACTCTTTCAAAACATAAAAGAAAGTTCTGTGGTAACCAACACACTACAAACCTTCCAAAAAAACAGTTGTTGTCATTCAATGAAAATGTCTCTGCAAGTTTAAAAAAAATTAGTAGAATTACTAAACCTTTGATAGATGTTCCAAGTGATGAATATAATATTTTTATGAATTTTGCTATTCTCAAAGATATCATAGCTGATATTGGTAAATGTCCAGAGTGTGGTTCTATTTTGATTCTTGAGAACAATCTTGATAAGCGATATGGATTTTGCTTTGAACTAATGTTGTTATGTAAAACTTGTGTATGGAATAAAAAATTTCGATCTTCAAAAGCTTGTAAAACTATAGAGAAAAATAAAGTAAATAATCATAAACCATCTTTTGCAATAAATATAGTAATGGCTTTTCGTGAAATTGGCAGAGGATATCAGTCAATTAAAAAATTTGGCATCTTGATGAATATGCCACCGTGTATTTCTCTTCAACGATATAATCGAATCAATGATATATTATATAAAGCATATAAAAAAGTTGCTAATGATTCTGTATCTAGAGCAGCACAAGAAAGTCATTCTTTAATTTCAAAAAAAATAAACTCATGTGAGTCAGTAATGGACTGCCAAATATCTATTGATGGTACCTGGCAAAAGCGTGGTCATACATCAGCTAACGGTGTTGTAACTGCTATTTCTAAAGAAAATGGCAAATGTATAGATACGCATGTTTTGTCTAAAATATGCAAAGGATGCAGTATGTGGAGTAAGAATTGCAACAAACCCGGATATCAAGAATGGAAAGCAAATCATGACTGTCAAATAAACCACATTGGTAGCTCAGGTAGAATGGAGCCTGCTGGCGCCATTGTTATTTTTAAGCGTTCTATTGAAAAACATTTGTTAAGGTATACGTCTTACTTAGGTGATGGGGATACCTCTTCATTCATAGAGGTTGTATCTTCAAAACCTTATGGCGATAACATTCATATACATAAACTGGAATGTGTTGGACATTTTCAGAAGAGAATGGGCACACGATGTAGAATGTTGCTTCAAGAGTATAAAAGAAAAGTTCTTTGCGATGGAAAGATGATAGGAGGAAAAGGCAGGCTTACGCTTAAAGCAATTAATATATTGCAAAATTATTTTGGAATTGCAATAAGACAAAATATTAATAATGTATACGCCATGAAAAAAGCTATATGGGCAGTTTTGTTTCACAATTGTGAAATTTTGGATGAAGTATCTCGTCATCAATTCTGTCCACGTACAATAAATGGGTGGTGCGCCTGGCAATCAGACAAAATTACTGAAAAATTAACATATAAAAAAAAACTAAGTTTGCCACTATCTATTAAATCTCTTCTGATACCAGTATTTCAAGATCTTTCAAAAGATGAACTTCTTAACAAATGCTTACATGGACAAACACAAAATAACAACGAGTCATTGAATAATGTGATTTGGAAAAAATGCATTAAAACTGTGTTTGTATCTAAGAAAGTACTAGAGTTGTCTGTATTTTCAGCTATTATTGAATTTAATGATGGAGTTATAGGACTGGAATCTGTTTATGTTGAGCTTGATATACCGTATAATTTTTTATTTATTAATAATGCTACGAAAATGGACAATCAAAGGATAACATTAATGAACAAAAAGTGCACTAAAAAGGGAATTGAGAGAAGAAAGAAACTGAGAGCCATTAGGAAAGGATTTTTGGGTGAAGAAGAGCAAAGTGAAACTATACCAGTTTATGCAGCTGGGGCTTATTAATTGTTTTATTGCATTTTTCTTTTTAGTTTTTAGTTTTGACCAATTTTCTTTTTTTAGTTGTTTTCAGTTTTAGATTTTGAATATCTTTCAATCTGATTATCCAAATGATTTGAAATTTTCAGGGTACAATTGTAGTGGTATAGTGAAGAAGTTGAAGCAGAATCAAGCCAAAATATTCAAAACTGTAGATATAATAGCTTTTTTTGTATACACCCCTATTGAGTTCTTGCTTTTTTTTTCAATTTTCGTAATAATTTTTGTAAAACAGCTATTGTAAACAGATATTCTTGAAATTTAGCGGTGATCCTGCATCGTTGAGGTATCAGCAAAGAAGCCTAGTTGCCAATAAGTTAACGATTTGAGGAGGTCGGTTCTCCGACTGACCCTTCGTTGGCTGATGTGGCGACCCTCTCGATGTTTTTATCTTAACTTTCAGGATCCAGCTAAAACAATGAGCAGCCCAAACACGTAAATATTCAACACCAGCTACACTTCCAAATAAACTATAAGATTTTTTAAAAAAATTTCAAATGTAAAACAATTTAAAAAGTTTATAAGTTTAAAATGAAAAATGACTTGTAAGTTTATAAGTTAAAAAAGAAACATAACTTAAAAGTTCTTTGTAAAGAAGCAACTTTATTATTAAAACTAACGCAAGTATAACCTAAAGTATAATTATTTTGTTAAATCCATATATGAAAAAATTTGTTAGCAAATAAGCTTCGCGCAGTTTTAACCTTTATCGCCTAAAAAACTTTTATGCTGCTATCTGATTTTCAAAAAATCTAAAAAGCGTATATATTGTTAATGTAAATTCCAAGTATTGGTTATTTAAGAACAAAGAATTACTTATTTATATTAATATCATTCTATTTTTATAAAAAAGAATGATGGAACAGACAGAGTGGGGTTGATCTGCAATAACAATTGTCGCTGACAGGTTAACGATTTGAGGAGGTCGGATTTCTGACTGGCCCTTCGCTGGCTGATTCAGTGACCCTTCTTCGTTGCTCTCCATCTCACAAGTCTAGTTTCATGATACTCTTGAAATTTAACGGTGATCCTGCATCGTTGAGGTATCAGCATAGAAGCCTAGTTGCCAATAAGTTAACAATTTGAGGAGGTCGGTTCTCCGACTGACCCTTCGTTGGCTGATGTGGCGACCCTCTCTCGATGTTTTTATTTTAACTTTCAAGATCCAGCTAAAACAATGAGCAGCCCAAACACATAAATATTTAACACCAGCTGC